TTCAGTTTAGCAAAACTGTAAAGAAAATGCTACAATGCATTGGAGAATAAAAGCCATAACTTCATCAAACCCCCTGGATAAATGCTCTCATGTTCTCAGGATGATGGTACCCATAAGTTGCGTTATAAATACTCAAAACTCCCATAAAACATGAATTTAACACCTTTTATTTTTAAAATAGGCTCCGGCTTGAAATTTTTAGGTACAATATGGGGTTTTCTCGGATTACAGTTATGCTTAAACTCATCTTCTTGCTTCTACATTTTGTTTCCCTTCATATCACTGCTGAAAAATCCATCTTTGCCACGCTTTAGTATTAGCTTTGATAACATCATTTAAGCTGCCTTCTCCTAGTGATAAATATCTTTAAAGTTTGTCCTACTCACGCTGATAAAACTCTCACAGGGTTATTGCTGAACTGCCAGTACTGCTGATTTTCAGCTTTAGCCCATTCTGATAACACAAAATAAAATAATTGAGTCAAACCAGAAGTCACTATTTAAAAGCAGTTATTAGGGTATTTTTAAAATGTGCTAAAAGCTGAAACTCAAATTTATGCTCTGAATTAGACAATTTCAGATTTCCAATGTTCTTCACAGGAGTGAGCAACCCAAGCACTATGGTACCTGCTCTTCCAGGATGGTTTCCAGACATTCCAATGCAAACTGAAGGAAAAAAACCCTGAAACATTGGAAATACACAGCCCTTCCCAGGCAGTTCTGGTCCCATTTGTTCTACTTTTTCTCCTTTATTTCCTATTCACTCCTTTCATTACAACTCTGCAAAGTCTACTTTAGTTTTCCTAATTTAAATTTAACCCTCTGACCTTTAAAGAATGTCACAGCTTTTTCTCCTCCCTGTGTCTCAGAAGTCTTCACAAATAATATTCAGCCTCGTTGCCTGTTACTTGATTTCTTTCTATGGCCAATTCTTTTTACTCATTTAGAAATTCATGCTTCTTCCCTTCTGCTGTTACAACTTCTGAAGCGATTGCTGAGTAGACTTTGATCTCCTCCTCCTTAAAAGCAACGGGACACTCAGCTGGCCATGGTAACTGCAAGGACAATGTGCTGAACAGTATGAGAGATCTCAATATTCAAACAGAAATTGTGCTCTCTCTTTTCTCCTGCTTTCTTCCCTTGCTTTTTGCCTTTTCCCTTGTTTTTAACCTTTCCTTTTCCCTCTCTTTTCCTTTCCACCTTTCTCTCTTTCCTTTTCTTCATGGACCATTTGTACCAGGATAATTTCAATTCTCTATAAATGCTGAACACCAGTGTAACATTTAACAGGAACCATCAGCGTGGTGCTGCCTATTAATCCATCCGATCCATGCCCAGGTTATCCCTATCCTCATGAAGGTGAGGCTGCCACTGGGCCTTGTTCTTTAGGAAAGTGAGCTAAAGATACTAGTAAAACTTCACAGTGTCCCAAACTTCACAGTGCCTGAAGCTCTGGTTTACTCCTGCACACAACCCCTACCGAAATCTATGAGTTTTGTGTTTGTTCCCAGCAAGGCCCATAGACTCCATGGTTTTATAGTTTTCATTTTGGATTTATAAGCAAGTCAGTGAGAGTCAAGTTTTTATTTTAGTTTTAAAGGGAAATAAAAGTATCCAATTTTAAAAAGACATTAACCAATCTGTCACTCCCTATTACTCCTGTCAGAGATAAGAATCCAGCCTCTACCAAGTACTTGGCTATAAAGACAGTGGGTTAGTCAAGCGCAGGCAAGAAAGCACTAAAACACTAAAAAACCTCAATCTACATATTCCAAAGGCTGTAAATTTAAATTTAAAACAATAACACAACAAACAAATAAATCTTAAGGTGAGATCAGTTCTTAAAGTAAGGTATGCATGGTTCCAATTTCTCAGAACCCACCAATATTGCTTTCCTTAAAGATTAATTTTCTCCCATCCACTCCCCCCAACATGAGTAAGGTGCTTCTCTTTCCAAAACAGTGTAAGCATATTTCTACACTGTATATCAAACCCAGTACTCTTATAACAGTATGAAATCCCTGGAAAAAGAGGCTTACCAGAAGCTTTCCTTTCCTGAAATGACAGTTGAAAGTAAATAATAAGAGGAAGGTAATGTGCTTATTTCCCTTCCATTGTCATTTAACTAAATTTTCCCAGCTTTCAAAAGCAATTAATTTAAAAATAAATAAAGGCCAATTTAGAAAAAGGAGTAGCAAAGATGAAAACGAGTCTTCATCACTGTGTTTCTCACAAAGATTTTGGTATGTGCATCTGTGAGTGGAGCCTGACTCCAAATAAATCACGCTCGTCGTTCTAGAGCATTCGATAAAATCTGGGCAGGATCTCAAAGTGATGAATAGAAAGAATATATTAATAAACATGTGCATTCATGGATACTCATATCTCTATATACATACCTACACGGATGTGTATGCAGAGACTTGTTCCAGGGGAGAGAGCAGGTTATAAATGCACAAGGCACAGAATGGCGTAGAGGGGGGATCTGCATACCATTCTAACCATTTTATTTTAGGGTGACAAAATGAGTCACTAAACTCTACCTTTTTTAATCAAAAATCATAGAGAAATAATAATACATGTTTTTGTAAATGGCCTGAAAAGCTGTAGATAGAAATTGTGTTGTAATATTAATGGTCCACAGTCATGTCTGGCATAAATTAATTCAGCTTCATGTCCCCCACTGACTATGGGCCCATTCTGTCTCCTGAACTTCTGCTGAACAACTTGTACACAACAGAGTTCTTAACATTTTGAAATATAACTTTTAAACATTTTTTACTACTCAAGTTTACTTACATTTTACAAAATACAAAATAAATAACTTTGACTTTAAGGAACAGGGACTGAGTCTTAAGTATTGAATCCCAGAATTAACAAGTTGATGTTGTCAATATGCACTTAGTCCAGAGCTTCCAGCACTTAATCATAATTCAAATTCTATAAAAATGCATGAAATATGGAAGGTATTTATTGTGTCTATTATTGATCTACGTAACTGAGCTTTATAACTGTCAATTGATCTGTTGAAAAATTAATATTAATAATTAATCTTATCACTAATAAAATTTAAGGCAGAATAAAAAGCCTAAATTTGTATTTTGTGTTGTTTAATAAAGAAATGTCATTGATAGGGAAAATTCTTCAAAATCTCTCCTGTACCAAAAGGAGACATCAACACAAGAGTGCCACAGAGTATTTTACTGTATCAAACTGAACTGATTTCCCCCCCCCCCCGTGAATTCATACCAATTCATAGACTTTTTCAAATAAGCTAAATGTACACTACTTTTTCCATTGATCTCTTGCTGGGCAGTATCAAATAGGGGGACTAAAAGAAACAATTTTCAGACCCACTTTGGCTTCTTCCACTTCAAAACCAGGACACAGATAAAATCACTAAAATTTGAGGGAAAAAACAAAGCAAACCTTATTGCACTATTTTCAAGCTGCACATGGCCAAAATGCAACCCTCTAAGTTCAGCTGGATGTAAAGTCAACATGAATGTTGCATAGGAAATAGCTGTGTAGAGCCAAATAGAGTGTGCGCTACAGGCTGAAGGTCATGTTACTGATTTCCGACCTTCCCCAAAATGTCATTCTGAAGCTCACAGAAGTCTGCAAGAGTTATTTTCTACAGGTTGATGTGAATCTACAAGCATTGCGGCTGCTCAAGGCACAACTTTCTAGCCATAAATACAATCACAAGAATGCATGCTTCAGCTATGATTTCCAATAAATCATAAAAAGGCCAGAAGAAGAAGAAATTCTTCAGTTTGGTCATTGGGATTTATCTGTGCAAATAGGGCTTGGGCTTCCTATTAGGGCTTAAAGATAATAAGCTGGGGACAACTATAACACTACAACAACTCATTTTGCTTATTTTTGTTCTCAAAGCTGACACAGCGGCTGCCAGAACTACAACAGATTCTGCTTCTCTGTCTCACAGGGAGATGCTTGGTTGTTTTGTTTGAATGTTACATTTCCTATGTCCTGAGCTGATGCATTCTCATTTGTTTCTTCTCAAATACTCTTGATTTTAAAGCCCGGATGAGCAAATGTAGCCTAATAGGGGAGGATCAGCTCAGACATTTGCAGACATCCACATTACATGTATCTGTATCATAGCTGGTCACTTGTACAGTGAAGTCAATAAGACTCAAAGCATGATTCATCCAAACAAATGTAAACCACTGCTTTAAGATGAGGGCACTTGGTAGCACTGACAGCACTGAACAATTGAGATGCACACAGCAACAGATAATACTGAGTATAAAGGAGTCTAATATAACCAGCTTACACGTAATCATCTACACTTAGATGAAACCATCCCCTGCTCTGTGAAGGTAAAAAAGGTTAAATAATAATAAATTAATATATAAATGTCTACATATAAATAAAAATTTATATATTATATAAATATATACATAAATATATTTTTAAATATAAAAAATAACAAATTAAAGTAAATCAGTGCTTTTCCCAGTCCACCCATCTAGCAGACTTTTCTATTTTTGGATAATCTATTTAATTCATATAATCCACATATTTTATATACTCTAGCAGTCTTTCTTTTTTTTTTCAAACAGGTAATATACTTTCAGTTGCTTAAATGCATTTTCAATGGAAAATAGTTTTGTTTAGAAACACTATTTCAGCCACCAAGAAGTAGACTCACTTCTACAGACCACAGACTAATGTTTGTAACAACACGTAATACATAATCAACTGACTAACAAAGAACTCGAAGAAAAGGCTGTGTATTTACTCAAATCATTGATGAAGTAGATTAGCTTTGATGGGCTACTGAATGTCTTACATGGCTCTTGTCAACATGGCTTCTGCAATAACATTGAGTAGAGAATAAAAAACCAACTCACAGTCTTAAATTTGTTTATAACTTGATTACAAACACAGGTTCCCCTCTGAGTGACAGATTTCAGAGAACTCACTGAAAGTTTTAAGTGACTTCATGTTAAACAACATTTCAAGTAAGCTTACCTGTTTCAGAAAGCAGTTTGGTAGCTTCCAGTACCTTCTCAGTATAAACTCCAGTTTCATAGTTCTCCATCTCTGCATTAATGATGTGAATAACTCTGGCTGCACGGCCTCGGATGGCACCTGCAGTTCTGTCCAGTGTATCGACATCCCCCTCTTGGAGAGCAATCACACATTTATTCACATCTTCCAGAATATGGTTTTCTGGAAGGTAGGGAAAAAATAAGGCTCATTTCATTTCATTCTTCCTCATAGCAAAGCTTACTGATTTGGGTAAACAGCAGATGTCAGTGCATTAAAAAATTGGTATCTGTCCTTATCCAGGTCTGCAAAACAAATACCATTCTGTGGTATTATGTCACATAATCCCAAGTGTGATATTTATATTTCAAAGGGACTGCGCTACCCTCTCTTACCTATACTGCAAATACCAACCTGTAATTCTTTGAAAACCAGTCACATTCATTTCAAACATCACGCTGAATTTTATTATAATGAAAGTGTAATAAAAATCAATGCAAACGGGAAAGCGTTCAAATATTATGCAGATGCTCTAATAAACAGTTGGCAATTTTCTGAAGATGAATTTACACATTCTCGTAAACACTTAATATATTTGGTTCCTTTGTGCCTAAACAAGTTAGAAAAGAAAATAAATCATTTTGAAAAGACAACAGTAAATGGCCTTTGCAGATAGCAGGGTGCCTGTGCATGAGTAGTTCATCTCCTTTACTCCATTTATGCCAGAGATTAAGCTGTGAATTTTTAATGACATACAGTATAATCATATGTGATTGTGCATATTCAGAAGGGTCATCAACAGTTAGTCTGCTCAGATGGTGTAAAATCAAGTATCTTCATTGAAATCTTGGGAGCTGCAGTGTTTTTTCTTGGCTCAGAATCAGGCCATCCACTCTCATGTGCTGCATTATCACAGTTGGTGTGATATTCTCACATACTTATAACGTGAAAAGATGAAGCAGATTTTGACCAGGTCAGACATTATTTCCCTGCAGCCAATACAGTTAAAAATCATTTCAATAATAAAACTATGTCTGAATTTCGTATTTGAGCAGCTCACTCTGAGAAACTCAGCGACTCTAAACAACTCTTCTGCCAATGACACAAATAAACTGAAAATGAAATGCTCTTCTTTGTAGTAATAATAAATAAACCAGAATCAATCAGTTCAACAACTGCTCTTTGTTAATTATTCTTGGCCACATAAATAGAACGACACACTAATTTTCAGGATTAAAAATCCCAAGGTTCGTTCATTTGAGTGTTTCAGAAATGTTTTACATGGTGTTGAATTTTAAATTGTAACAATTCTGTATGAAAACAGAAATTCCCCCGAGCTGTGAATCAGTTACTTGCAAAGCAAAATTATTTGCTTAAAAACCTCTCTATACACATTTTAAAAACATTGCTTTGCTGAAATATTTATTCGCTATTTCCTCCTCTCCACCACTGACTTTTTTTTTTACTATGGCACAGCCAAATTTTGCTCAACAAGAGGAGCTATATGGATTTGAACAGGTAGTGCATTTGGAATAGAAAGTATTAGATTAAAATTATGGTCAGCTTTCTTTTGGCAGCCATGGTATTATTCACAGAATCACAGAGTGGTTTGTGTTGGAAGGGACCTTAAAGCTCCTCCAGCTCCAACCCCTGCCACGGGCAGGGACAACTTCCACC